AACTTTTTTTGCAGAACCGGGGATTGAACTCAGACCCTTGTGCTTGTCAGGCAAGCACTTATTCTACTGAGCCATCTCCCCAGCCCCCATAAAGCAACTTTTAAAGCTTCCACATGTGTTTGTCCTGTCGTCTTTCTCTGTCCTCCTTATTTCTCTTAATGTCCTCCATGTTGCCTCATATAATGCCTCTTCTTCTTTTCGTGGCTGAGTAATACTCTATGGGTCAATGATTATTATTTTCTTTTTTTTTTTTTTGCTCCAAATGCCGTCAGGGTAGGTTTGGCTGGCTTGAGTTGTGGGGATCGAACCACAGCAACCTGAGCCTGACTGCTTTGTTGAAGCAGCCACTTAAAGAACTGAGCTAAGGGGCAGGCCCCCAAGGATTATTCTTTTCTTACTCTCCATTTGCAGTATGCAAATCCAGGAAAGGTTGGATTGTGCGCTGCTTGTTTTTTTCAGTCTGTAGTTCACATCTTCTCTAGCATCTGCTCTAAGACAAGCGTTTGAATTGTGATGTGCGAAGTACGGTAGTTGAGACCTATTTGTTGCCTGGTGTCCTCCTTTAGCAAAAACTTAGGCATGGATCTCAGCTGTGTGCACTGCTTTGAATGTTTTATAGATTATCTTGGCCAAACTTGGGTGGATAGGGACAGCGTACCCTGCAGCAGGAGGGAGAAACCTGTCCTCTTGGGCTTAGATTGCTCCCTGAATTGCCCCACGCCCACCAGGTATTGTTTTTAATCTGTCATTAGTGTCACATGACAATAATGTGCCCAGATGGGACCACAAAGCCCGTGCACATGTTTCGGGCTCCTTCCTCCAAACAACAGGAGTGGTGCTTTATGTCCCTGAGGAGCTGACCTGGACGAAGCTAGGGACAAAGGAAGGCTGGGAGGGCTCTTCCTCAACAGATGACTCTGAGCTGGGCAGGTTAAGGGGTTTAAATACATGAATTAAATTTTCTGTAACTTTACATTCAAAATTTAAAAAAAATGTATTTAAAACATTATGGTCCTGTTACGACATGCGCATATAGCTGGGGTGGCGGCAACGTCTGTATTTCCAGCCCTCTGGGAGGCTGCGGCGGGAGGGTCACAAGCTTGAGCGCAGCTCGGACAAGGTAGCTGCTCAGCGAGGCTTGGGCTCAAAATAAAAATTAAAAAAGAACCGGGGATGTGCCTTAGTGCATTGAAGCCCTGGTTTCAATCCCCAGTGCCATAGAAAGAAAAAGATAAATGGCATGGGGGGTGGGGGGAGAGGAGAGGAGAGAGGGAAAAAGCAAGCGCTGTCAGGCGGCATTATAAAATTATTAATTGTATATCTAAACTTTTCTTGGCTCCTATTCATTTCTTTAAACTAGAACGCCAGTATTAAAATGAGCCACAAATGTATTTGGAAGACTTTCACCTGATCTCATTTGACAGTAAAACGAAGGGCTGAAGCAGCGGTGGCGTGTTTATTGGATTTCAGAGCGCGCCTTCATTTCAGATTCCCACGCCGAGGAGGCCCTGTGCACCTGACCGCACTGCCGCCCGCAGCATATTTAATTTAAAATTGGGTGCCCAGGGGACCGGCAGGGCGGGCTTCCAGAGGGGGCTTCCCCAGCCATTTGTAAAGGAGCCATTTTAAATAGCATCGGGGCATTTAAGAGATGATGATGGAAGGAGTGCGCACGTAAAGGTCTCAGAAATCATCTGTTACTTGTTTCTACTTTAGATCAGCAAATCAATTTGTACTATAAATTCACAAAATCATTCTGTCAAACATTTTCAATGGAGATTTACAGATTTTAAAAAACACTATTCCTTTTGTTTGAGGACTACTAAAGTTTAATACCTACTGTTTACTTTTGAATGTTCAGAGTAACATGTAATTTATGTATTTTTCAATTTCAGGATGAGTAATTTTTTTTAATCAACTTGAAGTATTTGAGTTGAACGCATTTATCAAACCAGTTTTCCTGGAAAAAAATGGACTCATCTGCAAATAAAATTTTCACCTTAGATTTCACTTTGAGCCTAGGAGAGATGACGCCAATCCTCGAAATAACGAGTTGCTTCCTAAGCTAATTAGGCCTGAGAGAACCGACTCATCACACAAAACTGCTTGTCAGCTCTCCATCACTGTATTCTGAGCCTGCTCTTCCTGTACTGAGGAGCCTTGTGACGTATTAGTTGCTCAAAGGGGTACAGATAAATCTCAACTGCAGTAAGAAAAAATTTTAATTACAGCTAGCATGAATCAAGCCGCGTGTAAGCTGTATGTGTAAGTAGAGCTTATGGGCAGAGCCTGGCTCTGTGGGTGCTAGAACAGCGTGCCTTTTGCTGCTGCTCCATGAGACGGGTGGTGGGAATCACTTAGCGGCCATCTCCCTCTGCCTCTGACCATGCCTCCCCTCAAAAGAAAACTCGAGGGCACTTTTGCAGGAAGAACAGATCTCAGAATATCTTACCTTTGAATATCCAGTTTTCTGAAGCCCCCTTTTCAACATGTCACTGATTCCACATGTGCAGTTGGTGCCCAGTCTTTGAAATGCCATCTCTTGTAAATTTTAACTATGTACTAACCTACTGTTTGCTCAGGGTGCCTCTGTTTACAGCCCCTGTGGGTCGATGCTCCAGCCCCAAGGCTCATGGTGACAAAAGTTTATAATCTTGATTTTGTTATACTCAGATTAAATTTAATTTTGTCTAAAACATCTAGTAGGACAGCAAGGAGGACCTGAATATATGAGTGATTTTCTTTTCTTCTCTCAGGATTTATTTTTGTAGTGGAATTGCTTGCTTATTTTGGAGAGATATTAACACCAAAAACATTTTTAATGAAATGCCATGCTAATCACTTTAATTTCATTCTCTTATGATAAATTCTAATGATGAGATTAGAGCTGTAAAATAAGACACCAGTGGTAATCCTTGGCATCCTTCTTATTATCCTATTTATTTGGCTTGAAGAGTTGTACTTGTCTGTTTTTAGAGTATATGTTAATTGAGTACTCAGTATTCATTACAAATAATCTTGTCTGTTTTCTTGTCGAGATTCTAAGAAGTCCCTTTTGCTCTTTCTGTAAAAGCCAAGCAGACTGTATTAACTTCTGGTTTAATTTAAAAACCAATGTGGAACTTGTTGGCACAACACCTTGAAGAATTGCATGCTTAATAATTGGAAGTCTTTCCATCAGATTTGTATCCAGTCTGAATTAATAATGCTGCTGACTTATTGTTTTAGAAGACAGAGTCCTTGACCTGCTAGGTTGAAAGACTTGTGGCTTCTCTGAACCTTTGTGGGTCCTTTAGCTGTGCCAGGTCCCCTGTGAATAATTAGAGGTGTTTGAAGGTATTGCAGTAGAAGCCAATTTGTGTCTTTCACTTTGCATATTGTTGAAGCCTCATGAATTAATCATAAGCAGGGCAAAAAATTAACTTCTTCAGACACATATTTGATGGGTCATGAGGGAGAATGTAAAGTGATCTGTAAAATATTCTACTGATCCTCTAAGTATTAAATTATTATACCTACAGGCTAATTTCAAGGGGGAAAAGTGCCCCCCCTTTCAGGAACTGGGTAGCATATTTGAAAAAAATCAGTTTGTTAGTTTTTAGGACTGTGGAGAGGACAATAAATGAGCAGTGCTGTGATTTCCCCAAAATCCTCTCACGTTAACTCTTGATTCTAACTCTGGGAGTTTTCCTTTTAATTATTATTTTAATTTTTAGGCTCTTTCAGCCACACCTGAAGGATCTTGTTGATTTGGTGAAATGTATTGTGCAACCCAAGAAATAACTCATCTCTTTCACTTTAATCATCTAAAGCTGCTAAAATACCAAACCTAAGTAATATGTATTTCTAGCTTACTTAAATTTAGTTTTATGTTAAAATATTTTTCCATCTTTTGTTTTTCAGCCAATGAAACTGAGATTGCATTCTTTCGTGAAGAAGATTATAAGAACTATAAAGCTAATCCCATTTCATCCTGGTGATGCTGTCTCAGGAGCTTCCTTTCCACATACCCGTAGTAAGCTCTTTATTCCAGTAGTGGGTTTTTGAAATTGACAAATAAATCTTAAAAATTAATCCCAAGCACTACTATTTGAGCTAAACTTGGTGTTTTTCTCTCTCTACAGTGACCCCCTTTTCTTCCTTATTGGAGAATAAGAAAAATATTTTTGATTTAATAAGTGTTTATTCAAAAACCTGATTTCTTCATTAGGGATTTTTTTGTGACTTACATATTGGATTATTTAAAAAGATAAGACCAAGGTCAGCTGTTTATTTTGCATATTTTTCTCTAGTTTCTAAATAGAGCAGCTATTACTGTTTTGGCTGTCAGGGATTACAAGGGGGTTTACGACTGTCAAGAGCATCTTTTAGCTCAGCAAGTATGGGATATGTACCCCACATGTGGTACTGCACGGTGTTTATTTTGGGAGGTCTTATGATGCGATAAGGGTCTTTTTCCCTTAGTATCATAGCAAGTAACTTTGGTGGAAAAAGTCTTTTTCTAACCTATATTTCTCAATTTTTATTATTATGTACTCTAAAGAACTGAACTCATTTACTTAGAGGAGGTACCTGGCTATTTGTACTTCTGGGAGAAAATAGATCGTGGAGAGTAAGTCTGCATCCTGAAAGACACGTGCTTTAAAGATAATATGTTTGGTTTCTGAAGCCAGCTAACATCACTTTGGCTGGCTCGTTTCAAAGGGGCCTCTGAGCCCCTGCAGGTCTAATCCAAGCCCCTGGAGAGAGCAGGTGGCTCCATAGCTATCCTATTGCCCTCTAGGTTGACAGTGGGCCGAAGGGGCTTCATTGTGACAGTGTCTAACTTAAGAGTCTCCTTGTTAAAAACAACTTTGAAAGTCCAATTGACATGATCAGAGGCTGCTTTGCTTTGTTGAAAGATTGAGTAGAGTCTTCTTTAAAACAGAAATTCTGTTTTACTCATTGTTTGATTCCTTCACAAAGTGCCAGATTCACAGATGGTCTGAGACACAATCTTTGCCTCAGTGAGTGGGGAAGATACAGAAGCAAGTGACTTTGGTTGAACAGCAGTTGAAAACTGGGGTGGGAGCATTGTCAGTGGGTTTTTAATTCTGTGTGGGGTTTTTTAATTGTTTTATTAAGTACCAATTAAACAATGTCTTCAAAGATCGAAGAGATACATTCTGCTTAGAAGGAATGGAAAGAAAGGCGTTCTGGGAGAGGGAAGAGCACAGCAGAAGCAAAGCTCTTGGGAAGCCAGATTTCTGTGCCCCAAATGGGAAGCACAGGAGTGACACAGGAAGCCAGAGTCAAGAAAGTAGGTTGAGCAAGGCTTTGGAAGGCACACAGAAAGCAGCTTTATTCAGTAAGCAGTAGAGAGCCAGTGGTAAGGCTTAAGTAGGTGAATTGCGTAGTTCTGTTTTCCTTGCAGAAAGTGAGCTTTGGTGACTGTGTCTGGAGGGTGGAAAGGCTAGAAGACAGGGCTCATAGATGAGGTGAAACTGGTGGGCCTGGCCTGGGCAGTGAGGAGGGGAAGCTGAGCAGAGGAGATGACCTTGTGCGTATCCTCGAGAGCAAACGCGATGGCAAGTGTGTCACACGTGGTGTCTCAGTTACCTTTGAGTCTGTCTCTGTACATGAGGACAGAGAGTGCGGTGAGGAGAGTGAAACCCTGCCTTTGCGTATTCCTCATGGCTCCCTAGTGAGAGATGTGACGGAGAGTGATGGGTAGAGTGTTTGGGACTCAGTGTGTCCCTGTGTGCGAACGCTGTAGTGAGGGCAGAGTGGACCACTTCAGTGAGTCCCACAGGAGTGAGCAGCCTGATTGATGGTGATAGCAGTCATCTACGTAGGGGCTCAGTGAGTAGCATAGGTTGACACACGATCCTTTTTGTTCATTTAGTGAACATTCAATTTATATACACGCTTTTTTAATGTAGTATAAAGCATGTCTTAGGTTTTCATTTTCTATAAAAAATAATGGAAAAATCTGTATGTAGTACTTTTGGGGATGGACTTTATTATAAAAGTTATATATGGGCTACTTTCAATTACAAACATAGGTTTAAAATTAAAAAAACAACAAAAAAATACTATGATTAAAAAGGAATTTTACCAGGACTGAAAGTTGGCTCAAAATTAAAAGACCCACCTATCTCATTTACAATACATATAGACTAAAGGACGAAAAAGTGTGTTTAATCTCAATAAATGCCAAAAAAGCATTTGAAGATATTTGTCTCTTTGTGTGTTTAAAAATTGTCAATGGATGGAAGTGTTTTTAACTTGATGAAGGATACTCATAGAAAATCTACCTAATGGAGAAGCATTGTGATAAATCTTTTAGACGTGGGTGGAATTATGGTGGTCAGCATTGTTGGTTCTATTCAGCACTGTTCTCCAGATCTCATTGTAGCAAATGTGATATGCAAAGTAGTGAGAACCACAGATATTGGACAGGGGATAAATATTCAGACAGTATGATTGCAGGAGTATCTAGTGATAAATTGAAAGTAACAGACTTCAGGCATGCTTGATAATGAACCTAAAATGAATTGTCCACAAAAGCTATAAATTGATTACATGTTCATAGATGGAAAATACAGTGCTGTAAAGATGTAGAATTGTACATAATCTGAAATTTAATGCAATCTCAGTGCAAACCCCAAAGGAACTTTCTTATGGAATTTGAAAAAAAAAAAAAAAAGGATTTTAAAATTCATTTGGAAAGGCAAATGTCCAATAATAGCCGAGACCAATTTAGAAAAGCAAAAAGCAAGGTGAGAGAGGGACAGGGGTTACCTACCCAAAGTCAAAATATATTTTAAAGTTGTAAGAATTGAAATAGCTTAATAATGACAGAGAGTGGAGAAATGGGTCCATGGAATGTAGAAACTGACAAAAATGTATGGAATCAATATATAATAAATGTATTATTTGTAATCAGCGGGCAATATAGAGTCAACACATGGATAGGTATTATGAAATGATTAAGTGTCATTGAATTTGGGGGATCTGATTATGTTTAATTCTTTATATGTTCTAGGTATAAGTCCTTTGATGAGGGACAACTGGTGCTAATGTTTGCTTGTGGGTTGTCTTTTCATTGTGTTGGTAATTTCTTTTTCTTTTTCTTTCTTTCTTTTTTTTTTTTTTTTTTTTGGTAATTTCTTTTGTTGTACAAAAACTTTAATAAGATGAGATCCCATTTGTTGATGCTTTGTAGTATTTCCCATGTGGTCTGGATTTTATTCATGAACTCTGTCCTCTTCTATGTCTTCAAGATTTCATCCTATTTCCAGTAAGTTTAGTGTTTCTGTTTTAATATTTAGATCTTCCATCCATTTTGACTTTGGCTTAGTGCATAGTGATAGACATGGGTCTGGTGTACTACTCAGCCATAAAGAAGGATAAACTGGAGACATTTATAGGTAAATGGATGCAACTTGAGAGTGTACTCAGAAGTGACATAAATCAGACCCACATGTGTAAGTGTTTTGTCTCATTAGTGTGAGAAACTGAAAAAGTAAATAAAATCTAAAATATACCATAGATACTATGAATCAGGAACAAACTGTTCAAAAGGAAATAGAAACTGAGATGGGGAAGGGAAAAGATATACACATGAGATAGTTAAGACAGTTACATAGCTACTTCCTCTTGGTTGATGGAAAGGAAAGGTTTGAGCAAATATTGTTTGGAGAAAATTTCTTGCCGCTATCTTGTATTCTGTATAACTACTATGAAGATAACATTATGCAATGTATTAATTATTGTTACTGTCCTATTAAGCTGTTTTGAAACATTTGTTATATTATTTTTTTTCTTTTCTCTCTTTAAAATAAAAAATGATTGATTTAGATTGGTTAAACAAATGTGAAACCTAGTAAGCTTTTTTTTTTTGGTAAATATAGACTACGTTTATAACCTTGGAATGTAGAATGCTTATAACACAAAATGTAAATGCTGTAATGTATCAAGTTTGATATATGTACATGGGAAGTGGGATTTAAGAATTCTAAACAGAAGTTGAAAGCCAGACTGAGAGAAACTATTTGCACATATGAAACAAATCAAGAGTTAGTTTATAGAATATATAAAGATCTCTTATAAATTGTTGAGAAAAGGACAAACATAGAAGAGAAAATTGGATACATTTTATGAAGAAATTCATATAAAAGGAAACATGGTTTACAAGTATGAAAAGACGGACACCCCCCCCACCCCCCACCCCTCCCACCCCCCGTTCTGGGGATTGAACTTAGGACCTTGCACTCCCAGCTAGGTGCTTATGCCACTGAGCTGTATCCTCAGCCCCTGGATATCCTTATTTTTAAGGAAATTCAGACTAAGGATACTATTTTTAGTTATTACACTGACAAAAAGTAGAGGGTTTGGTAATAGGTAGTGGACATAATTTGTGCCTAGGCTTCCATTGGGAGAATAAATTTTATACAGTCACTTAGGCAAGCCACTTGGTGTGGGGTCTATTGAAATAGCAGCTGTGTATATTCTTGTAACCCAGCAGTTCTGGTTCTTGGAATCTGTTCCAAATGAACCCTCTCATGTCTGTAGAAAGAGGTATTTGTAAGGGAATTACTAGTGTTGGAACAGAAAAACACTGATAGCCTTAATAATGAAATGATGACAGGGGAGAAGTTAAATACATTATGGTACATGGATGTTCTGGATTCCTGCTTATAACAGTGAGCTACCACCATATTGTTTACTGACATGGACTTTGAAACATCTTGATGAAATTACAGAGGGACTCGTAGGTAACGTCATTTATTTAGAAACAGAAAATAAACTGGAGGTGGTAGCACACACGTGTAATCCCAACACTGTGGGAGGCTAGGGCAGGAGGATTACGATTTCCAGCCCAGCACAGGCAATTCAGTAACTAAGTGAAAACTTGGTTTAAAATAAAAATGAAAGAGCCCAAATGAGTCACTGTCCCAACCCCCAACAGGAAGAGACCCTGTCCAGCCTGCTACATGACTCACTTTCCCATTTGGTCCTGGACTTAATCAATTTTACCTGAGCAATGGTGCTTGTAATCTCATTGGTTGACTGTAGTTTTGTCCCACCTCATGCTCACCTAAGCAAGTTAACATGTTCTCCACCACCTTAGACTAGCCTCACCATGTGGTTTTTCTCTATAAAAGTCCCTGGAAGAAACAGCGTCCTGGGGACAACCCGCCCAGGGCCCCCCTCCTGTCCGTTTCTTGGACAGGAGTTTTCTTTTTCCCCAATAAATATATTCTGCTCATTAGAAAAAAAAAATTCAAAGGCAGGAGTGCAGCTCAGTGTGAATCCCCAGTACTGCAAAAGTATATACACACAGCCTGACAAGTACATGTACATACGATGTATAAGTATGTATGCTGCTATGATCTGAGTGGGGGGTGGGGTGGGAAGATAGCTGGCTATGAGAAGGTGGGCCTTGAGATACTGAATCTGCCAGTGCCTTGTCCTTAGACGTCCTTTCTTCCAGAACTGTAAGAAATAAACTGTAACAATAAACTATAATAAATACAAGCCACATGGTCTATGTCCTTTTGTTTGTGGCCAGAATGGGTTGAGATGTATGTGCACATGAATATATATAATGGTACAATATACACAGACAGATACATACCATGTTGGTGGCACTCATTACCTTGGAAGGAAGCAAGGATTGGGAGGCAAAGGTGGTTAAAAGTTTTATTTATGATGTATTTGTGTTCAGAATTAGTGAACAAACTAATTATAGAAATCACTTCTGTTAGCCAACATTTTGGCCCTAGCCTTCCAAGGTCAATTAAGACTCAGGACATATGAGAACTTGTACTGTAACATCATGTAACTCAGTTGTGTCCCAAATTTTCTGATCAAGGAGATTATGGGGCCAAAGAAGAAAGTGATCAATGATGTAGAGTGTGCCTAAGGAGAGTCACATGGAGAGAAAACATTCTCTCAGGCTTTTACAGAAAGCAAATTGGCCAAGCAATGGTTGTGACTCATCCACATGGCTGACACTGACAAAGGATCTACAATCTGAGGTGCAGGATCTCAAGATAAATCCTGAGAGGATTTCACTGACCTTATCAGATCCAAAAGGTACAACTCTTGTTGCATAGGTCCTGCTTTACCTTGGTCTTAACCATCCAGCAGAAAAGTATAAAAACGAAGTACAAGAAATAAAGCCATGTTGTTAGGTGGAGCTGTAGGGGACTCAGGTCAACAACTTCTGACATTGCCAGTCAAGTGGAAGACCCAATACTATTATGGACTACTGGACTATTTTGGAATATTTTGCTGAATTCACACACCTATAATATTTAAATGATTGAACTAAACAAGAAAAGGGGATACAGATGAATGTCCATTTTGTATCTGTATTCAAAATGGTTAGGATAGATATATAGCTACGTTCTCTTAATGAAAAAGGGATTTGTTCTAATAGTGTCTGTAAATAAGATATCATGTCTGCATCTTGTACAACAAATAACCACTAGGAAGAATGTATGCAATGTGTTAATTATTGAAAGTGTCCTACCAATTCGATTTGAAACTGTCTCATTGTTATTTATTTCTCAATAAAATTATGGGAAAAAGAAATCACTTCTGTTGATGTGTGTTATTTAGGGTTTGGCTCTAGGAGAATTTAGAGACTCACTCTTTGATCGTTAGTGTGAGGATCATGTGTACAGTGACTTAAAAGAGGCAGCCAGGGTGGCTGTCAGGCGTGCTGCTGGGCAGTGGTGGTGCCCGCCGCAGCGTGCCCTGCACCCCGTGCCATCACACTCACTCCCTGTGGGTATTGGTAATTGATGCCGTTCTCAGGCAGTGAGATTTACGATGGGCAAAAATCCATCTCAGGTCCCAGGCAATGCCATCTGACCCCTTTTCAAATAAAGACAGACTGTTTGGGGAATATTGCTTTGGAGACTTTCGATTTTAGCCTTACTCCTATTAAGTTCAATAACTAGGACAAAACAGTGCCACTGATAATGACATTCTTGTGATCAGTCACTCCGGTCAGTCAGAGCAGTGACCAGAGTGCTTGGAAGGCTGATTCTGTAGGAGGACTAAGGCACGTAGTAGGGATGAAGACGGGGTGTGCTCCCCCCGCTCACTATTTCTGACTTACAGCAGTAGGAGAGCCGGAGAGGCCGAGAGTGTTCTTTCAAGTTCTCTTTGTCAAAGAGCAACCCCTCAGCTTCATTTGATTTCCTGATCACGCTGCTTCTTCTTTGCTACAGGTTGGGGCTTTGAATTTTTTGTCGTCAGACTACACAGTGCCTTTCACCCTCCTCCCCAGCTGCTAGATACCCCAGTACCGCTTGCGCCCCTCATTCTGGGATGATTTTAGCTCTTGAAGCTGTTTCTGTCTCCAGGACAGCTTCTGTCATGACTCAGTACAGACACTGAAGTCTTCCTGTAACTTGGGGCCCTTCAGGTCATGGACCAGTTTAACTGTAATGATCTCATTGTCTCCTTTGTCTCAGCCACCTGCCTCCAAAGTCATACCTCAGCCAGTCATTATCAGTAACCCCGCCTTAGCCCACAGTGTCACTCCAGCATGGTCTCCATTCCCACCAACCCCCTCCATCTTTCCATTGTTCCACCTCTGGCATTCCATGGCACCTGCCACCCTGTCACTGTCCCTCCATGAATGAAGCAGAGGATCTCTGGTCCTTTCTCAAGACTTTGTGTAGATCCTCACATCCCTGACACATCCCCCATCTCATGCACTACTGGGTCCTCTCCATACCTG